GATTGCTTATCACCTCCTTAGGGGTAATCTGCATAAGGAGCCACAACTAGATGGCTTTTCACCCTCCCCCACCTTCCCAAAGAAAGGGAGAAATCTAAAGTATGTTGTGCAAGGAACTAAATGGATTCTCATCACAGCGTGCAAGTAGTTCCACTTGATGCTAAATAAGTCCCAGTCCCCTGGGCACCTCCTGGCACTATCAGTGTCGTTCACTCTCGCAGACCTTGGTGACACTGAGGACCTGAAGCCTTCCCTCTGAAACGTCAAGGGGGTACTAGTGCTCAATCTGAGAGGGCCCATCCTGAAAAAAAAAACCAAAAACTTAAGCTTATGTTTAGGCCACTGATTTTTTTATTTTTTCAGATATCTTTTTTTTTTGGCATTCTTTAAAAGCAGCAGATATAACTGGAAAAAATATTTTTTGTTTCAGATGTGATGCTGGCTATACTGGACAACACTGTGAAAAAAAGGACTACAGCGTTTTATATGTGGTTCCAGGTCCAGTACGATTTCAATATGTCTTAATAGCAGCTGTGATTGGAACCATCCAGATTGCTATCATCTGTGTTGTAGTCCTCTGTATTACAAGGTCAGTATCTCTGGTAGTTTGCAATAGAAAAAGAAAACACTTTTGCTTTTCCTACTTGGTCCGCTGATTATACAGATTTCTGCAGTGACACTACTGATAACAAATGCTGTTTAGTTCACCAACAAACAGAAGATATTGTCTGGTCCAGCCAGCCAGTGCTGCTTCATTATTATGAATTTTTACTTCCATCTTAATCATACTTAGGTAGCAACGGTGCCTACAGCAAATGAAGTTTCCTGGTTTGTATTCAGATGCTTGGACAAATATTGTTCATATAAATAAGGGGAATATAAATACAGCAGCTGGATCAACACTTAATAAAACTAATCATATCTCCATCTGGTTTCCTCAAGGGCCCATTCCCTTAGTCCTAATCAGGCAGAGCATACAAACTTTTAAGCCTGTTTGCAATCCTGTTGATTAAATGATTTCATTAGGCTTGTATACATGTTCAAAGGTACTGTACATGTTTAAGGTCTTCACTAGATGGTGGCACACCAAGCTATATATGAGTTATTTATTCTTTTCTTAATGAAGAGGAAAGGGTTGTTTGAATGGAAATGACACCCCCCATGGTAGTTAGGAACAAGAGCTTGTTCTTGTTGGTGGAAGAATGCACTGAGAAGTGGACAAATGGCAACACATCAGCACCCCTCCACGTGGCTCCGGGTGGAGGAGCTGGGCTCTGCCTCTGTGTGTGGCACTGTCCCCATGGCCATGGTTCACCTGGCCATGTCCTTCTGTGCCCAGCCCACCTCCCTTCATTTAGTGAAGTTAAACTGCACGAGGATTTTCACAGGTTGAGTTCTGGCCAGCATATAGCTCTAACAAATGCACTTTCCAGTCCCTTCAGAAAAGGAAAAAGCAACCCCAAATCCACGTCTCCATATTTGCTGCTGTGTTCGGTACAAGTTCTGCAACTGCTTTCTGTAGAAATCTCCATTCCTGTGTGTACAATCCAAGAAACTGTTATTTTCAGGTTAAGTTTGAAAGGCCCAAGGAGGTCTAATGTTCGGTGGGACCTGCCCTCTGTGCAGTAAAGCCAAAATCACTTTCCCCTCTCTGCCCTCTGGTCCGCAGCAGTTCTTGTTTTCGCAGGTCTGAATGCTTTGTGGCACACACTGCAGCTGGGGATGCGGCTAATAACACCTCAGAAATGTAGGCTGTTTAGGGATTAAATGTGGTCTTTCACAGTGAAAGCAAGGCAAATAACTTTGGGAAGTTTAGAGATAGTGTGTCAGACTCCTATTTTCACTTATAAGCAATGTTATGCTATTTTAGGCCAGGCCAAGCCTTGCCTTTTTTTTTTTTTTTTTTTTTTTTTTTTTTTTTTTTTTTTTTAATTAGGTTTATTGCTATAGCTACATGGTGGTGTTTATGTGTTAACATTTGATTTTTGTATCTAATGTAAGTGACTGAAATAAACAATCCAGATCTGATAGTCCCAGTGGGGGAACTGACATTTGGATTTGGCTCCAAATCTGTGGTTTTGATGCTTGTTAGACTCTAACACCTCACTCAGAAAGCACAAAGCACAGGGTGGGGAGGAGGGGGGCTGCAGGGTAGAGCTAAGTTTGCTATCTCCAAACTAATCCTCAACCTCACACTGAAGTGCTCCTTGGAGGGACTCACTGCCATCGCTGCACTGGGTTTAGCTGATGGAGGGATCTGCAGAGGGGCATTATAATGCCACTTAGGTATCAGTTTAATTTATTTGCAGTCTCCCTGGAAGGCATCTTGTGCCTCCAAACCTGTATAGCCCAGCGCTGCCATGCCTGGGTTCCCCTTCATATCGTACCACCCCTGCCGAGCCTGTGTGTGGGAGACAAAACCAGCAAGGACTGGAGCAAAGAGGAGTATTTTACAGTGAGTTACAGTGAGTCTGAGCACGGAAATATCCCTGTGTTCTAGCGGGCCAGCATCATGCCTGCTTGCTGCCTCTGCTGTGCATTCTAACCTGCACCGTCACACTTCTTATCTGCAAATTTGATGATGGGAGAATTGGGGGTGAGGTCTGAGGAGCAGGGAGCAGCTGTAGAGCCCCCCTCTCCCTCTCCCTCTGCCTTGCCCCGGCCCACAGTTCCAGGCAGCAGATGGTCCCTACAGGGCCGGCAGCCCAGCGCTGGGGGGCTGCCCTACACCCTTGTTGTCTGCCCCGCTGCCTGTGAAAGCACCGCACTCCCACTCCCATCAATCAGCACAGACCAGGTGCCTGGAAATATCTCTTGCCAATCACCTTTTATTACCTTTAAAAAGCCAAGAAACCCAGAACAAGACAAAAACTGAGACCGTGTGAACATCATGCAATGGATTCACTTTAAAGCAGGCTAGGGTGGGGAGGAGACCAAAAGCCATGTTAGAGTAGAAGTATCGCTTCACCCACGTCTGAAGGCCAGATCGGGTGGACTGTCACCAGTGGGGTTGGTGGTGACTGTTGTGAGTGATCAGACTGATGCTGAAGCAGGAAATGGAAACACACTCATGAGCCATTGTCCCACGTAACCCCGGAGCTGATTCTGACCCAAATGCCATTTCTTACATGGTGATGACAGTGAGAAATACTCCTAACTCTTGTCATGGGTGCTTTCTGCCTAGGCAAAGTCTCTGGAAAGGAGCAGCACAATGAATACTGTTTTTTTAGTTCAGTGATGTTATTTAGTGTGACTAGTACTCCGATAGTCAATTAGTGGAGTGGATGTTATCTAGCAGGAGTGAAGTTACTGCACTCTGCCCTTCAGTCTCACTCTGTCGTCTTCAAAATTCATAGCACAAACTAGAGTAATACTATCTTCTCAAAAGAATGTGTTTTTTGGAGTGTTTCAGCTACCATGGAAATAACTTTGCATCTTGTCCATCATGTGGATGTGACAAAACATATGCCCTTATTCTCCTGAGGTATAGCCAACATTTGAGTTCATTACATTTAATGGAGTAGGGTCACCCATAAAGTTATTCGTAAGGTGTTTTCTGAGTGGTTTTCACCTTCTCTTTGAAAAAATAAATTATATCAGCATGTTCACGAGGTACAAATGGTGCTGGCATTTCATCTGTTACTATGTTATTAACTTTTTTAACCTAATAATTTTCAATCAACAGTAAGAAGCAATTTTCACTCACTCCAGTGACCAGAGTTAGAGATTCTGCCAAGTGTTCTTGTAGCGTTCACCTTGACAGACCCCTAATTCCCTCCCAAATCGAAACATTACCCCTGACACTCTCGTTGCGGATACCAAGAATTTCCATTTCCCCTTCGGTTAGGATTTAATTTATAAGGCAAAGACTTCCTAAGCTATGGGAGAGTAAAGATAGATGGTATGGGAGAAGAAGGCTGATGAAATGTAGTTGACTCCGGATCTGAAATATTTTATCCCTCCTCAATGTAGGTTAAATTATTCTTCACCTTTCCCACATCCATAATTGTCGCTGATCTTGGACCAACTCAAAACCCTACTACTGAGTTCAGTAGACTCAAAATTGCCACTAGAACTGGAAAAAGAAGAAAAAAGAAGAGATTTGTTAGTGTCCATATACAATATCCCAAGACTATACACAGCTATGAGATACAGCAAATTTAAGAAAGGCAATTTTTTTCTCATCACTGAGTATTTATTATATATAACAAATACATGAAAAAGAAAAAACTATATTGTGTGATATAAATAGTTTATTTACATTACAGAAAAACATCAAGACAATGTATACTATTTCAAATATATCCATACATAATCAAATATAGCTGTAGTACATGTTCTCATTGGTGTAGATTACCACAAATGCAAGGCAACATGTGTAGATCTTGTCTTAATCTTTTGTCTATAATACTGTATTTTGTAGTCCAAGCTCTCTGCAGTTAGTTTTGCCATTGTGGAAACATGCGCTCTTTAAATTAACCTTGTCGATGCTCTTGTTGTGTTGTCTGAACTGTAGTGCCCTGTGTTTTGCTTCTGTCTGTGGATTCTGTTACTCCTGGGACATTTCCTGGAAAAGAGAATTGTGAGAATACACAGCTCATAACAACGTGCCTGCTCAAGAGGTGGCAAGGGCAGCAGGGGACCCGAGGGTGACAGAGGCATCCTCCAGCCTGCAGTGCACTTCCTCTTCAATGAAATGAAATGGGCTGGCTAATGGCAACAGTACCACAAAAAACCCCCCACATCTCCCACAAAACACACTGTAAACAAAAATATGGTATGGGAAATTTTAAGATTCCTCTCCTTACTGGCGAGCAGTGGTGACTCTGCTGCGTTGCGACAACCCCAGCTGCACCACACTTCTCATCTTTAAATAATGGATTTATTTTCAGCAAGGCACAGGTGGAAGATTTAGGACGGTCTCATGCTCACCTGCTCGGCATACCGGGTCTGTGAAGTATTTACAAAGTTGATGCGGGGGCTGCCTTTCTGAGGAGCTAAGCGTCCGCAATCCCTATTAGTCTCCATGGAAATGGTCCATGCTCAGCTCATTAGTGAGCACCGACTTTACTTACGGGTGCCTGCACCGAACTGTGCTCCTCACGTGGATGCTTAGCTTAGTCTGGAAAGCAATTGCACTGGAAAGACCAAAATCTTAATTTCCTCTGGATGGCTGCAAGAGCAAATCTCTTCTGCCTTGGGACCTCATGGTGCTCCTCAGCAAGGGTACGTTTCAACCTTTTACCTGCAGCAGCATCAGCTATGGGGATGTTACAAAGCCTTTCCCCCTAATGGAAAGATAATGTGTTTCTGGTTTCCTCCCACAGAAAGGCACCCTTCGACAGAAAGCATGGAAGCTTAGTCCCAGGTGCAGGCCACAGAAAATTCTAAGCAGCTGAAAGCCAAGGGGGCTACAGGAGAAACTGCTGAGCAAGCAGAACCATAGCAAGGTGACCAACACCCACTGAAAATGCTTGCACTTTTTTGCACTTGTGGTTATCAGCAAGAAAACAGTATGCTATGGAAATACAACCAGCAATAAATAGTCCTTTACTCAGGGTGATCTAGTTAACGTTTTGCACAGGAGGAAGAACAAGCTATTCCTAATTCGGCCATGCATTTTGTTCTCTTTCTTCAGCTGTAGCTCAGTACAAGTTTTTAGCCTGGGTGAGCCTCATTCTGCCCTCTGTGTGGGCAGGTACACAAGACAGATTGGAACACCTTCTTGGAGTGGCATGACAGAAAGCCCCATGATACTTCAGACTATACTGACATGGGAAAAAATTCCCTTTGTATTGGGCTAACTTATTTTTCTGTTACAGGAAGGCTTTCATTGGCACCTTGTGAAACTCTAGGGGTTATGTACTGCGGAGAGCCCACCCTCTCAGTGGACTGGGAGCTCAAAGCACTTGCCTTCAGCTTTGTGTCAAATAACTAACAGCAAAATAAAGTGAAATAAATTTTTACAGCCCCCTTAAAATCGGCCATTTTTTTTTCCCCTGTTGAATGAGAGTGATGCTATGAGATGGTGACTCCAACTGAAAGGCTAAACAAGGAGCATAAGGACTTACGAAGCATTTCAAAATGCTGAAATACAATTATACAACTGTCTAACAAAATATGGGTCAGATTGTCCTGACTCGCCTCACTTTTAAGCCAAAAGGACCACCCCCTCATGAGAAACTGTATGGCTGTGCACTATATTTTGCCTCGTTCCTTTCTTGGAAGCAGTAAAGTAGGCTGCTATCATTACTCCAAGAAAAATAAGCCTGCATCTCCAGCGCTCTCGGAGGTCATGGCAGAGCTTTCATTATGAAACTAATGCAGACTTTAGCTGTTTTGCGATTTCATGACAAACTCATTATTCACTGTGTGCTCCTAAAAAGGCGATCAAAGTTTCTGAGTGAGTCAGGGAGCCGTTGTTAGCAAACACAGGGCTGATTCACTGAGCCGCATGTCATGTGCGCGCTGACAGCCTCCCAGCCCCGACTGTCCCCGAGCGGCCTCTCCTGCCCATTCAGCCGGAGCCTGCACAGCAGGACCTTGCAGCGCTCCGTGGGAGACAGCACTGACACCTCCACACGCTGCTAAATCCTGCTGCAGCGGCCGGCAGCCACACAGTGTGACTGAGCTCCCAGGGGTTCCTCGAGGATGAGGATGTACACCAGAAGGCGCAGCCCTGCTTTGCCCCAGCGCTCAGCCATGAGAAGCAGGGTTGGGGAACCACGCATGGGAAGCTACAGGGGGCACAACCAGACCTGTTTTGTAAAAGACATGGAGGTACCAGTGGCTGGGGGATGCCCAGGATGGTCAGCAATCCCAGGGGACGCAGCCGTGCTTTCCCAGAGAACGGCTGGATACCGACTGCTCCAGCTGGAAGCAAGGAGATGAGCATCTCATAGGTGCTGTCCCAAAACTGACATTGACAGTATCTACACAGTCACTTAGTCCAAGGTAGGGAGAAATCGATTAAATGTAGAGGTTACTCCAATTAAGATGATGAAAAAGCATCTTTTAACCAGAAATGCCCATGTTTTAATTGTATAATACACTATGCTACCGATTGTTGGAAGACTGGGAAGGCTCCAGGGCCAGACACTGACACCATAACCACTTCAATGCAATGCTACTGCATTTACAGGTAGGCTGTACCTGAAGTACATCTGGGTTTCCTAAGAGGAGCGTTGGCATTTAACCAGATTTTTAGACTTAATCATCTGCTAAAACTGAGTGACAGCTCTTCCTTGGTCCTTAACTCTTTAATCAAAAGTTCTTTGTAGTGCTCCATGTGTGGGATGCATTCATTTATGAACACAGCAGTTATATCAACATAAACTAGGTACTGGAGCACAGGCTGCCTGCCTTCCCTCCATTGAAGCTTGCTCACAAGCTTGAGTTACTCACAATGTGATTTGTAGCAGGTAAAACACATTATGCATTCATTTTTAATCAAGTTATTTCTTCACATAAATAAGCTGCTGTGACTAAACATTAGGGAAGCACTAAAAATGCAAAGCTGTAAAGAAACTGCTGAGAATCATTATGACACTAGGCCATACCTATATTATTTACCATCCTCCTTCAGTTTTATCATTGCTTCTCTTTTGCCTTATATCTAAACTACAAGTCCTTGGGCATGGGGACCGTGCCTCACTGCTCCACCTCCTCCCGTCCATACCTCTTGGCCTCCGGTCCCCTACTCCTCCACCCCAGCTACTTATTCCCATTGCTGGCACTAGTGATGAGTAGCCAGGCGGCCAACCTCATCAAGGAATCGAGCTGCTTAAAAACAAATGATCAGTTTTGTTGGTTGGATTTTCAGCTGAATCTGTCCCCTGACTGTGTTCATTGTGTGGCTACAGAAACGCTAATGGTGGCACAGAGCATTGGCAGGATCAAGTGCCAGGGGAAGGGGCAGGGGCAGACTGCCCCTGTTAGCAGCACAGCTCATTTATTCAGATTAAAGTGTCCATGCAACAGTATCCCTAAAAGTTCTTGGGAATTGCTCAGAGCCTTCCATCAACGGAGGACACCCCATAGATTTGCAAGACTGTGAGGTATGATTTTAAGAGCAACAACAGTAGCGACAGCTGAAAGATTTACAATTGGTAGTCTTATGCAGGTCAAATACAAGGTTTGGACAGAGTGCACCAAACTCATTTGATAAATTAATCAGGTGAAGCTGCACTGAAAAGAGAGGCAAACAAATTGGCTGCAGTGGCCTCTGAGTGAGCAAAGTTTCTCTTCTTTCTCCCAGGAATCTGGTAGTTTTAGTACTTTCAAGAGTTCAGGGTGAGGAGTTCAAACCAGTACAGTCAGGTTCTCCATGGCAGATGACTTAAAAAACTCAATTACTTATGCGTGTGCTGCCACAACGCTCTCTTGCCATGTGTATTTCTCTTAGGCTGCTTAAGGGTACACTTTTGCAAATGTATCTCAAATCATTATGCTGGGATGGAGGACGCTCAGCAGTAATTACATGCATTATAGAAAAAAGTCAAAAGATCATAAATTAACTTGGTTACAAAGTGTGCAGGAAAAGGTACCATCTCTGTATGAAAACAGTGTGATGGGTAAATTGCATTACAGTACCAGATCACTCAGAGTACACTGTCTTCATTCTTCAATACAAAGTACTCTGCATTACTGCATCCAGGTGACAAAACTACAGTCACTTGACAAAATGATACAGATCATTTGTTCCATTATCAGTTACTACACCACCTTCTTTTTCTTACTACACACTGCATTTTTGGTTGTTTGAATTACTTCTGTGAATACCATCATAATATACAGACTCATTTGGCATTTACTATTGAGTTGATGGACTCAGCTTGGCCAAAAAAGCAGCTACCTTTCATCAGATGGTTTTGTTTTATGCCTTTAGGCCAGAGAAGGATTTATGATGTTTTTTTTGGTGTGTGTCTTTTCCAGGAACAAATACTACACTTGTCTTCCAGTCAGGTACTGCAACATAGGGACTGAAATATCTTGAGATTTTATTTTCTACAGAGGTATGATACCTGGCTTTTATTTATTTTTTTCGAATTTATTTTTGAGAGTGATTTATCAGTGTTCTAGCTGAATTAATTTAACCTCATGATTTCTGAGAGAATCCTGAAGACGTCTGTAGTTCAGGACTTACCCCAAGCCCTCCCCAAGACAGTAACACAGTTCAGTGGGGAAGCAGAGGAGCAGATGTAGGAGGGGAAGAATTGCATTTACTTCTCTTGTTCCTAACTACCATGGGGGGTGTCATTTCCATTCAAACAACCCTTTCCTCTTCATTAAGAAAAGAATAAATAACTCATATATAGCTTGGTGTGCCACCATCTAGTGAAGACCTTAAACATGTACAGTACCTTTGAACATGTATACAAGCCTAATGAAATCATTTAATCAACAGGATTGCAAACAGGCTTAAAAGTTTGTATGCTCTGCCTGATTAGGACTAAGGGAATGGGCCCTTGAGGAAACCAGATGGAGATATGATTAGTTTTATTAAGTGTTGATCCAGCTGCTGTATTTATATTCCCCTTATTTATATGAACAATATTTGTCCAAGCATCTGAATACAAACCAGGAAACTTCATTTGCTGTAGGCACCGTTGCTACCTAAGTATGATTAAGATGGAAGTAAAAATTCATAATAATGAAGCAGCACTGGCTGGCTGGACCAGACAATATCTTCTGTTTGTTGGTGAACTAAACAGCATTTGTTATCAGTAGTGTCACTGCAGAAATCTGTATAATCAGCGGACCAAGTAGGAAAAGCAAAAGTGTTTTCTTTTTCTATTGCAAACTACCAGAGATACTGACCTTGTAATACAGAGGACTACAACACAGATGATAGCAATCTGGATGGTTCCAATCACAGCTGCTATTAAGACATATTGAAATCGTACTGGACCTGGAACCACATATAAAACGCTGTAGTCCTTTTTTTCACAGTGTTGTCCAGTATAGCCAGCATCACATCTGAAACAAAAAATATTTTTTCCAGTTATATCTGCTGCTTTTAAAGAATGCCAAAAAAAAAAGATATCTGAAAAAATAAAAAAATCAGTGGCCTAAACATAAGCTTAAGTTTTTGGTTTTTTTTTTCAGGATGGGCCCTCTCAGATTGAGCACTAGTACCCCCTTGACGTTTCAGAGGGAAGGCTTCAGGTCCTCAGTGTCACCAAGGTCTGCGAGAGTGAACGACACTGATAGTGCCAGGAGGTGCCCAGGGGACTGGGACTTATTTAGCATCAAGTGGAACTACTTGCACGCTGTGATGAGAATCCATTTAGTTCCTTGCACAACATACTTTAGATTTCTCCCTTTCTTTGGGAAGGTGGGGGAGGGTGAAAAGCCATCTAGTTGTGGCTCCTTATGCAGATTACCCCTAAGGAGGTGATAAGCAATCATCCAAGCTCCATATGAAATGTGATTAGATGTTCCTGCAAGTGGATACATCATTTACATTTTGTCTGGTTGCTATAAAAAACCCTCTGTTGATGCTGCAACCAATGCTGCCTGCTGCGCTGCTCACCAGTTCCCATCCTGCAGCCTGACATCTCCCCTCTGTGATGTTGGGGAGATGTTCCCATTTTAGCTCTTGTCCTGCTTCCCCTAAAAAGCCCAAGCAAGAAGATGCAAAAATCCAGGTCAATGGCAGTAGCAACCGTAAGAGACTGAGACAGATTGCTTGGCTCCTCTCAGAAGTGTTAGTAGTGCACTAATCCTGGTGGGTTAAGCCTTGAGCTTCCACCATTTTCCTCTCCTGCATGCCCACAGCAGCCAGCAGCTTGAGGAAAGGACATTTTCCAGCTGAACGGAGAACCTAAAACGAAACGGTTGCAAAGAGCAGAACGTGCCCTGGCTATTTGCAGGATCTGAGAGAAGCTGGCTTGAAGATCTGCCCTGGGGGCTAAGTCTGGTCTGTACCTTCATGCTCTCAGTGCAATGTCCCAAAAAAATAGTGCTTCATGTGTAATAGTCCTTTGCCACCAGGCTGCTGGTTGGACTTCAGAAGTAATATTCCCACCTCTGCAGGGAGGCATTTGCTGCAGAAACTCCTGCTTCCACTGTTACTCCTCCTCCCTGCCCTAACCTCCTCCAAAGCCACCTCCATGTAGCCAGGGAGGGGCCACCTTGGCCCCAGCTCGCTGCCCCACGAGCACCACTCCTGCCACAGCATGGACATACCCCTGGTGGCACTCCTCTCCTTCAGACTGAGGAGGCTACCTAGCAGCTGTCTGAGCACTGTGTGAAGTGCTTTTAAAAACATATCTAAATATAACTGAAGGTTACTGAATGTTTTTACAATCAATTAACATTGTGCATAACTCAATACACTTTTGCCACATAAAATGGGGACATTGTTGAATAATTTAAGTCTAATGGATTTTGTAGCACAAAGGGCCATGGTTACCATCATTTTCCATAGTTTATCTAGATTAAGGATTTCTGTAAGTCAGTATTTTCATGAATATAGCCTTTCCTCCTTGGCAGGAGAAGGGTTACCTGCAAGACGGTTCCAGCATGTTAGTGGAGTGCTCACACTTGCCATGCATGCAGAAGCCGTTGTAATGCTCTGGACAAGGGATGTAGATCCCTCTTGCACTTTCTTCCAGTTTATTTGCATTCTCTGTGAACACAGGTGAAGGGAATGTTAAGCTGATAATGCAGGATAGGGTGAAGTGATGGAAAGAACTCAACATATAAAAGAACGGAAAATCAGAAGAACAAAATGTGAAAGATGATGTTTATGGGACGCGAGAGCAAGGGTTTCACCCTGAAAAAGGTAGGCTGATACAGATGCAAAGCACTGCAAGGTTTTCTGTCATTCTTTTGCATATCTAATTCTTGTCAAGCTACAGAAAATGAGACACCAGAAAAAAATAATCTGACTACTCAAAAACTGATTACAAAATAGCACATGAAAAACACCTGATAGTTTCTGCTATCCTCTACGAACTGTCTCCTCATATCCAGGCAAGGCTAGCAGGAAGCCTCCGGACATTTGCATGTAATATACCATAACAATATATTTGGTCATTCAATACAACATATTCAGAAAGATAATTTATGGCTGAAGTAGAGGAGCAGGACTCCACAGCTGAAGTTTATTATCAGTGGCGCACGCCCATGCCCCAGCACCTGCTGGCCTCCTCCCTGTCCAACAGCACAGGTACTTTCAAACTAGTTTGACTTTCTGTGCTTACTGCTGCAGCTGTTAGTCACTGAGACTCCAAATCCTGGAAAATCCTTCCCTCCACGTAGCCAGGAAAAGGGAGGTTTCATTTAGTTTTGAAACAGGTATGTGCTCAACATTTACATCACGGGCTGAAATGCAGAGTGTTACTTGCAATGAATTCATACCAATTTTTTAGGCCACTGAGGTGCTAATTAATCTGGGTAATTTTGGCAAATTCTTCCATTTAACCAATAGTCGTGATATCTCAAATGGTACAAATCCTTTTTCTGTGATAGGTATCATCTTGCCACAATTAATTAAAAACAGAAGAAAAAATCTCATGATAGATATCTGAGGAAATGTAGTTTGCACACACACAAGTAAGTCAAAGCATTTGTATCTTCCAAAGGGAGTCCCCAAGTGTTATAAAGCAATTGCAATTTGTGTTCTGCCTCCAAGCCAGTTGTGCCGGCAGTAGGTATGCTTAGGTATTATCCCACCTTTGGGAAAAGTGTGTGCAGCACATCCAAGATTCAGATTTTCATAATGAATTACTTTCCTGTCGCTGCTGTCCAAGGAGAGTTTTAAGAGTCTCTAACAACTTGCACTAATGAAGTTGGTTATATTGTCCTTATGTTAAAACAGGCAAGGACAAGTTCCCAGCAAATGAGAATGACATGGCAACCTCTACATCCCTGTAGACAACATTAACTTCTCTCTCATTGTTAGGACTTTGAGGATGTCTGCACTATGGACCATTATCACATCTTTTTAAATGCACATGTTGAACACGGACCTGTTTGCCTCTCCTGGATCCCTGCTTACACTGGGATCTGTGTGGGGCTGCCATCAAGGCTGTTAATGACAATGCAGCACAGAAGCAGGCATCACACCGAGGTGATGGTTTGGGGCTGACAGCGGTCTCTGGGACGGCACAGACAGGATGGGCTGACAGGAGGCATGTTACAGGCATGGTATAACCTCCTTTGAGAACTTGCGCAGGAATTTCTGGTACTAGAAAGAGGTGGGAGCAGAAGCTCCATCTGGTCTGGTGCCAAACATTTTTGGCTACCTATGACACTCTGAGTGAGACACTGGCTACCAGCATATGAAATATATACATAGAGAGTTATCATCCCACCAGGACTTCATGTACGTTCATTTTTCCAACTGAAAATCTTTCCAGAACAGAAAAAATGTATGTGATGTGTGTCAGCTATCAAGGGACTTGCCCAGTACACACACATAGATCTATCTCAATGTGCTGGGGACCTGCTGAACTCCATACCCATGTAGTGATCATATGTACTATGTCCAATGGTTTCTGGGTGCTCTGGACCTCTGCTGTGGTCCACATTCAAATATATTTCTATCCAGAAAACTGCATCAAGAAAGATGGGATCCTTATTAATATGCATTTTTTCTATTGTGGAAAAGATGCCATTTCCTTCAAATCTTCCATTATCAAGAAGAATATTGTTTCCTTTCTGAAGAACCTGTGCGTGTGTGTGTTTCTGTGTGTTTCTCTGATTCTTCCTTCTCAGGTACCAAGATATCTCCACGATGTCCGTGCACCACCACAAAACAGTGTGAGAATCCTTCCTCTCTCGGATGAGCCAGCAGTGTTGCTAAAACGGTAGAATACCATTTGGTTTCTTTTTTTCAAAGGCACGCTTCAAGATGGTGAAGGAAATTGTTACTTTCAGGACAGACTAATCTGCTGGGACTTGAAAGGGGGACCAGGACCTCTCCCAGACTTGCAGATGCTCTCGCTGTGTGTAGGCTGTAGGGCTGTTAAAGAGAGGAATGATTTTTCCTCCTCCTGCAATCATGTGGGTAGAAACCATGTTTTCTTTAAAAAGGTCTCTAACATACTTTAAAGTAAATCTAGGATCCTGCAGAACTTGTAATTACACCTCTAAGTGTAACGTTATGGTGGAAAATGATTTACTGAATGAAAAAGGAGATGGCCCAAGCTTTGCTAGCAGTTCACAGGACAAACACTTCATGCAGGAACACTTGTCATCTGGCTTGGAAGAAAGCAACAAAACTTAGACACAAATTGTCTGTAGCACCTCATTTTGACTGGTGACTCCTCTAAAAGTGTTAGGGATTGAACATGAAAGCAGAGAGAGGAAAAAACCTGTATTTAATGTGATCTGGCGTTTTTGTCATTTGAAAGACAAACCACAATGAAAGCATCATTTACTTCAGAAAAAGAAATTCCCCTCCTCTTCCGGCACATTTTGAATTCACACAGTATAATTACCCTGCCTCAAAACAGGTTATTTTTCTCAATACACAAAACATCTTTTCAGATTCAAAATAGAGATCCAAACACCAAGACATGCTTTAAAAGTTCCTTCATATTAAAACTGTTCTCATTCCTGAAGGATCTAAACACTTTTCAGTAATCCAGTGTCGATGAAATACTAACTACCATGAATGCATCACAGTGTTTACAACACTATGAAACAACTACAACTCATTTCTAAAGAGGCTATGAATAAAAAACATGTTTAAATTATGACTTAAATAAGAACTGTACCAAGTTCAGAAAAGTAAACCTAAATGAAATATGATAATTTTGGATTATTTATAAATTCAATACTGGAGGCAACCCGCACTAATCAGATTATAGTACCACTAAACTAAGGAGCCCCTCTACAACACCAACCTTGTACCTACAGAGCACAAAGCTTAAATAAAAAGTTACCCACTTTTGTTCCAAGCACAGCAGATCGGTATTCATAAAGCAATGACACAGATCAAATTCAAAGTTAGTCAGGTTTCAGTAATGTTAAATTCAGTAGCTCCTCGTCAAACATTAGACTTGCTGTATTGTTATTGGCATCTATGTGTGAAAATTTTATTTGCACTAAAAAGACAGATTTGTGCCTTTTTGTGATGGTTGGAATTTGAGACAGAAGTTGTAAAGCGTAAAGATAAAAACTGGACTGACAGCGTCAGTCTCTTCTATCTCTGGACAAATGTTAATTCCCGCCACATTTCTTAAAATGCTTCTCCTTTTTACTGTAAAAAGAAATACATCCCCACCCTCCAGATCAACTGTATTCAGGAACCGTATTCTTGAAGCATTTTCTGATAGAAGTTTGATGAAGCCAACATCTTTTGCATTTCTGCAACATTTTTTGCATCTTTAGCCTAACATGACATCTCATATTGTTCACATCTTTTGTTAGTGCCAGAATATGACATGATAGCCGATCATATAAGATATAGCAGTCAAAACAGATTATTTTTAAATGCATTGAGGCCAGATGCTACTTTGTGTAGACTGAAACAGCTTATCCTCTTGCCTACTAGAAGCATCTCCCAGCTGAACACTTGGATCTCCAACCTTTCTGCAGATGTCAGGAAGATACCAAGACACTGAACTATTTCGCTGGGGTAAGAAATTGGTCCTGAAAAGCTATCCAGTGTGACTGACCACCCACTTGGTGCTCTTCTTCTGATGGATTATCTTCCAAAATGTTAAATAAATTATTTAGCTATCTTGTCTAAATTCCTTAGTATCTATGGCTGATTCTGTTCTCCATTAAGATGGAGTGGAAGAATTATTTCAAATACATTTTGTGTTATTTTTATTTAATTTCTGTTTTAGCTATATGTCTTTCCTTCGCTTTTTAGAAGCTGAATGTGCACCATTAGGATTCTCAGGTAAATATTTCAGTGAAGGCTGAAATTCAAAAGCTGAAACATTCTGCCTGGTTGCAGGACCCAATGACTGCAAGTGATGAAAACAATGCAGACAGATTCTTCTCTGGGCAGCCCTCACTGGTCCCCAGCTCCCATCTGAGCTAGCGTGGAGCTTCTGTTACACAACTGAACATGTGGAGTAGTGCCGCTGACGAACGAATAAATCCATTAGTGTCCTTGATGAGGATTATATGAAGTACTGCCTGGAGTACTGAGAAAATTCTTCCCAGACATAAGTTCCTGCAATACACTTTGGACAAATTAGATAAAAATCTAGGCAAAAATAGGATTCTTATGTCCAAAAAATGGCTGCCAAGCACTTAACAATCAGGTCTGCAGGGCTGATAATTCTGTCATTCTTTACGTTTGAATCAGTGAGACTTTCTAGGTGATTTCAGGCAAGAAAAGTAGAGGGTTACAACCTGTAAATTCTCATGTTAGTATTTTCAGTGTTGCACATCACACAGTGTTGGAGCTTATGGAAATAACAAGTGATAGGTTATGCCCATATGAGAAAATATTGGCTCATGTACAGTGTTAATAACTAGTGTACAGTCATCACTGGACCAAGGGAGGTCCTGAAAATAAATATATATACATGTATTTCATCAAATAAGGGATGAGATGGTGAATGATGTGCAGCAGAAGCTATTTTGACACCTACCTCATTGGAAATGGTGGTTAAGGAAAATTGGCTTACATAACAATTTAATCTTTTAATACCACTCAGG